ATAATCTCTCTGGGATTTACGCATTCTTATTAACATTATTAATAATGTTAATAATGTTAATAATGATCACTTTGTTCTCTCTAAGTTCCTGTTTAGACTTTACTGCTTTAAGGTTACAATAATTTCTGTCTAAATACAATTTGTCCTTGTCAGTTACTGACAGCACTAACTAATGTAACCTTTAGACAGCACCACAGTGTGACAGAGGTAAGAAAGATGTTGTAACTAACATGCTTTCTGTTTCAAAGAGTGACATATTGCTCACTGCGATACTGTATGTCAAGAGTATTCATGCAGCACATTTCTAAAAGGGGAAGTAACCTCTGACATATAGAACAACTTTAACAGAATCATAAAGGCAAACTCAACCTAAAACATTTATTATGCAAAAGAAATATCACTAAATACTATAAACTATTATATCTGAAGTGTTTTTTTCATCATTACATTTGCATATCACCTCATCTTTCCACTGTAATAAAGAAAAAAAAATAGGAAGATGGAAAGCCCAACTTTGAAAAATATAGTCCCTCAGCTTCTCCAGCTCATGTATTAGCTTTGGCAGGTTGTACAAGCCTGCACCTAAGAAATAACCCGACAGATAATTCGTGCAAGCAGCTACCTTTGACCTATGCAGTGGTGAAGTTTTGCAACCTCTAGTAAATGTGTGAATAGCTTAATGTACTATATGAGCTGGTGTCATCACGTTTAATTGGGTAGAATTTGTCAGCCTCTGATATTGAAAATTAAGCGAACATTTTGACAACGATAAATTGTCTATTTTAACACACAAGTATATTTTTCTCACTCATTGCCAATGTGGGCGCATGGGTTCATTTATGCATAGTATTAACTCTTGTAATTGTATTACATGAGGTTGTATAATAGTATACAACCTGTCTGTGCAGACGCTCCAGGCTCGGACCACACCATATGACTACTGTGCTGTAGAGGGTTTACTCTGTCCCCTACAGGTGAGTGGAAGAATGTACATACGAAACAAAATAGCAGCTAATAAGTAATACAGGGAGTGCAGAATTATTAGGCAAGTTGTATTT